GTTACGAACATAGATGTGGAACAGTGGGGCAGGGCAGTTGGTGTTTGACTAGAGTATATACAGTAGTTAGCTAGTCACTAAGTCCCCAGTAAGTATAATTATACACTCAAGTGTGTGCTTACGTAAAGAGACACACCCAACAAGGGAGAAAATTGGGGAAGGTATTTCATAATAGCAAGTGTGTAATGCTTCAACTTGATTATCCTACAGTAAGCATTACTCAGCCCGCCTTTCCTACAAACAGGTTGGCTATAATAATCAGGTTTTTGTTCATGTGATTGCATCATGAGTCATTTCATGTGAATATGTAAGTCATGTGGACAACTGCTGGGCTACACCACTCTCCAGTGTATAACACTTGGTGGTGACTTGACTGTAGCCATTAGTACAGAGGAGAACTGATAACGTGATGAGCTTGCACGGAGCAGCTAGTGTCTGATGCTATCTCCGAAGATGATTTGTGGTGTGCATGTGAGAGGAGATACCATGGTGCAGTGGCTGGTCACATTGGTTGCTCTGTTTCTTTCATTCGACAGCTCATCAGGTAACCAAACTACCTCAGCTGTTGTTAGCTAACCAGCTCAAATCTAGGTGAAGGAGATTCAGACCAAGCATATACCACTGTAAAACCTTTTCCTAAGCGTTTTGCGTTGCTATCCCTATCTACAGACCCTGTTGATTTTTTTGGGTTTTTCGCAAGATAGAAAAACTAGTGCGAAAATTGAAACGCATTGTGCTACAACTATAGCTCAACATTTTTGTGGCACGTTGTATCTACAGTGTACTGTATGTGCTATATAAACCACGGATAAAAAATGCCACTCTCGAATAATACAACCCATAACATCAGTTCAGCAGCCATGGAAAAGGGGAGAATGTGTGAAAATGGACCAGCACTTTTCACAAATGACAAACAAAGTTCCTTGATGTGTAGCTATATACTCATTAGTGGAAGTATCCTTGACTGCAGCTTGGTCTTACTCCCTCTCGTCTCTGGAATTCCTGGAGCTTGGCTCCTCCTCTGCCAACCTCACTGGATCCAACTCTGACCCCATCCCCATCTCCCTACCAAATGGCTTCCCTTTCTCCAATGAAACTGAGTCCACAGTTTTTGTAAGTTTCACTAACCTACGTAGCCCTCACGGGGTTAGTTGCGCACGTGTATTTTTATGCGAAATAACTCGATGCAAGGGATATTAATTGTTTTATGTCATAGGTGAATGTCAATGGATTCTTGTCATTCAGAACAGCCAGAGACTATGGTTTTCCTCGTGGACTATTCAGCTCCACTTCTGACTATACTCATATCGTGGCTCCTTACTGGGCTGTGTATGATACTTTTCAACGAGGTTATGGTTGCTTAAATCATATTTAGCCAAGTCACGCACCTTGTGCCACGGATTGTTTGTGACTTGGGTATACTGTGGATGTGCGAAAAAGTTAAATGTTGCTGCTTTGCAAATCAGTGAAATTGTTGTTCGGATTATTCAACAGTAATTAGCCAGTTTCACATAAGAAGATCTGAATGTTAATTGCCAGTGACATTACGGCAGGGGGACACATTACTGACATTTTAGGCTCCTACTTACAGTGTGCGTCATAACCAGGAGCTTACCACCACAGGCAAAGTGGCATATGAAGTACACACTACTGGAGATCTCCTGGACCAAGTCAACTGGGCAATGTCTCAGGAGCTGAATGCGACCTTTGAAGGAGTGTGGCTGCTGGTGGTCTACTGGAACAACGTATACAGTCGTTCGGATAATCAGGTAACTTGTTACATTTGATGTACATTTTGAGCACTACCAATCACTAGCCCTAGTACTTGAGAGAGAGATGGCTAGCTGAAAGATGCCGGTAATTATTTGTTGGGTACAGGGGAAGTCATAGCTGCCATGTATGCATGCATGTAGCTGGCTTTACTCACTCCCATGTACTTTCTGTGCAGGGGCTGCACATTGTTTAAGGCCAACACAACTTTCCAAAGTATTGGCCCAGGCTTGCAAAAAGACAGAGTACAATTAATACCATCTTCAATGTTTGATTAAGCATGGTTGGGCAGGTTGAGGGGTCAATTGGCAAAGGGACAGCGAAAAAGTGGCAAAAGAGGGATTGGATGGTAGACAGCGAATAGTTGCAGAAAGACAGAGTATTGTCACTAGCTTGTCTTTTCTTCTACCGTTGTACCTACAATCATTGACACCCTGAAGTGATTAATAAATTTGTAGATAGGGATAGTTGCATAAAGACACAGTATGTTACACTATGAGGGAAGAGACATTTTTTCAAAAAGAAAAGGATCACGTATGACACTCTATCCCCTCTCACAGCCAAACAGGTTCCAGGCAGTGTTGGTGACAGATGGCACCAAGTCTTACTGCCTATTCATCTATAACTGTGGCTTTCTCCGGTTCTCTGGAGCTGCCATTGGTTTCTCAGCCTCTGGTAACTTCTTCTTCAACCATAGACACTCTCGCTGGAGTGACTCCAAGGAGGTGGCCTGTAGCAACAGACCTGACAGTGACTGGAACACTCTGGTCTATGCCTTACACTATGACGGTATGAAGAAATAAAACTGTCCATGAAAGCCTGACAGAGCGAGAGAGTGTGAGAGATAGAAAGAGAAAGAGAGAGGGGAGGGGAAGGGAGAGAGGGAGGAAGCTATGTGTACATCTTCCTTTCCTACATTGCCTGCCATACGATTGCCGGGACAGACAAACGACAATAGTGTTTACTTTCAACCATAATGAGCTAAGGGATCATTGCTAGCAACCTATCAACCGTCAGGGCGATAGTAGGAGCATTATCTGCCATGCAGTTTCCATAACCATGACACATGAATCCTCAATAACTACTATTACCTCATACCATTGCAGGAGTGAGGCCATATGTTGTGACAAATCCTGAAGGTCCCGTCTTCCAAGTTGGCAAATATATTAAATATTCGTGCCTTGTCATGACCCCTGGTAGCTTCTCCTTCCGTTGGACAGTGTACTGCCAGTACCGTATTGTGCAAGAATATCCAATATTTACTGATTCTGGACGATCAGTCACCATCACCTCAACTCCTCATTGGTGCATCGATGTATTTGAATGCACAGCATGGGATGATGCTGGTAGCACTGGCCAGGACAGATTGTTGATAGAAGTCACCGGTCAGTGAGACATTATACTTACCCCGTACCATAGCTACTAACCCCATTCCCAAATCCACCCCCGTTTCTCAGGGGTTGGACTAGTTGATTTCAACGATGGTAAAATGCGAAACAACACATCCATGGAGGCAGACTCGGCCCACCAATTTGACGCCGTGTACTGTCACTCTGCCTCAAACCAGCCCAACATTGGCAGGTGGATCAGTCCCAGTGGAGAGGAGATTCCACCAGTTGGGAACCACATGTTCCAGGTCCAGTTCCACAGTGCCACCTACCACAGCTACACCTCTCTCTCCCTCAGATACGGTATATACATGGCATAGCCGCTATAACTGTGTTTGTGCATCATATTGCTTGGACCAACAGACCTGGATAATATGAGAGGCTTCTCCATAAGGCATGCATGGTGTATCATATCAGAACCCCTCTTATACAAAAGCAGAACGAAAGTGATGTCATTGTAAAGAATGACAGCCTACGTACCTGAGGAAAGAAGAAACACAAATCAAGTTGTTTCAAATGTAGCTAACCAATACTTGCGCATGTGTACAGGCCATTCCTCACCATTCCTGTGAGTGTTGAGTGTGTGGCACTACCAGCCCTACCCCTACCTCTTTCTTCATTCCCGACCATGACTGAGTCTCACAACTCTGACAAATCTCCACGTGCACACACTATTCGATGAATGAGACTACGTATATTTCAGAGTCAACATCATAGCTTCAGTAATGATGCTAATAGTCTATTAGCTCCAACAAGCACGAATTCAGTGTCTGTATAATATATAGACAGCCTCAAGCGTGCTCACAGTGTTACGTCCACACTCTGTATCACCAGGTGTCCAGTTCAGCAGAGAGGCAGAGGGAGTGTACAGTTGTACCATCCCTGATGAGAATGGAGTGGAGCAGATTCTTCATTTCGGTCTATATGACTATAATTTCACCTCTGGTGAGAGAACACTTGCAGCAAACAGGGGGTGTGAATTGTTCAGGCCACACGTCGTGGCCACAAAGGAACCGGGACAGTGGGACCACTTAGTTTCAACCTGCAGACACCTTCGTTGCAGCACGATTGTTATCTTGATTCCTTTAGAGCGCATCAGCTTCATTTATTTGTGCAATTAACCCCAGTAATCACCATTAGTGCAAACAAGTAAATTGAGAGAACAATGCTTGTAGCGGATGCACGCACTAACCACAGTGCATATTGTCACCGCTGCACCTCAGCAGCACCCACCTAGTTGCAATTGCGTATTTCATTTCGTAGCAATTCCACTTCCATTGCAGTCTGCGGTTGCGCAATTTGAAACGGTGACCCCTCTCGGCCACCGTAGTACCCTAGCAACGGTCGTTCAATGAAGGGAACAGTGGTGTCTATTTCACATGTATTCCTGCAGTCTTTTCACTCCATCCTCTTTCTATGAGAGTAATTTCTGAAGATCCCTTCATCATCTCCTGTGACTCCACCCACCTTCCTCCCTACCTGGTCCAGTGGTGGCAGGATGGCGACGTACTCGGTGAAGAACTCTCCTCCTCCCACCTCATCCACAGGGGAAACTCAACCTATGAGAATACTCTTTATCTTGCAACAGGCCATGGCACCACCTTCAAATGCATTGCGTTGGTGGTGGTTGAGCCGAATTAGCCCTTCTTCAAGGGTTTTGAAATGTAAGCATTATATATAGTCTATGGTATATCACTTGTCAAAAATTGGGCTTATAACCTGGGGAAAATGTTATGGATTTCTAAGTAGTATAATATATGATCTATAAATTAAGCATGCACCCCTACTGAAATATCTTCTTGTATAATCATATTTACTTATTGGTGAGCAAAGCAAGCACTCCTAGTCGTCTGAATGCAAAATCTTTCTTACGGGCACTGGCACACATACTGTATGTTAGACGCCATTCTAGGTACGCGTGAAAGTGCAATAAAAACAAACAGCTCACTTTGCTCGGCAAACGTGCATTGCATTCCTTTAGTTACAATACTATCTTCCTTCTATATGTAAGCATTACTCTGGGGCCCCCAGATGAACATGTTGCAGTAATCCAGCCTTTTGGGGGCCGCTGGAACATAACATGCTCCCCAAAGCCGACCCAACCAACCACAGCTCTTACATGGGAGACAGCAGACGGACTGCTGTTGGAAAAGTCTTCCTATAACACGGTCCACTACTCGGCTCCAGCTGAGGTTTCGCAGGAGTTGGTCTGTTATGGATGGAGTGGAGATCAGGATAAGACGCCTCTACAGTTTGTCTCTCTTATAATACCAGGTAAATGTGTTCTGCATGCGTTTTTTCCAGAGGTGCATGTGTTGAGACTATGTTCATTCCCACTCACTATTTGACAGACGAAACAATGTTGCATTTATTAACCCCAGGTACTGTTGTTGGGTTTACATCCACGACATATACTGGATCGGAGACAAGTGGGGATTTCGCAGTGTGTGTTGAGGTTTTGAACCCTCCTTCTGGTGGTGCTACCCAACCATTCAATGTTACCCTACTTCCCGCAGAAGGTTGGGTGTATTATATTAACTCATCAGTACATTATAGTTTAATTGTGTTTATTCCAGAAATTTCCAACCAACATCAGCAATGGGTGCAATGTAGCACAGTGTTTGAATTTGAACGAGGAACCTCTGTGGAGTGTGTTGACTGCAGCATCGCCCAAGATGATGAGTGTTACAACAGCACGTCCTTTGAACTGATCCTTGGTGTACCATCTACATACACACTCCATCCATCAAGATCGAGGACTAGAATCACTGTTGATGATAGCAGAGAGCCAGAATGTTGTAAGTGTTCTTGAAGAAGCTACTGCTAGTCTAGTACTCCAGGCACACACTCCTCGATTTTTTTCAGCTATGAACTTCTCTAACAATCGGACAAATATGAAGAGTCCATATTATTAGTGAAGTGTTTCGTATGCAAGAAAACCCCATAATATATATTTTAGAGGTGTCTTCGTGGGGTACTGTGATAACTGTTTATAGTAAAGAAGCCTTGGCCCAGGCCTTCCAGCCTCCAGTTCTTTTGTGATAGTTTGCTGTTTCTATTGATGGCCAATCCATGATCTCACTGTAACTATGCCATTTGTAGGTAATATTATTCACCCACCCCCATGCAGTATATATCTATGTTAGGGAAATTTTCTTATCTCGTCTGCACACACCAACATAATTGGCTAGATGTGAGAGTTGGTTATGAGCACACAAGTTACACCATATCAGAACTGAGAGCTAATAAAGAGATTTGTGTCACCAGCTTGTCTCCCGGAATTGACGAAAGTTTCACCATCAATATTGCAACCAACTCCACACTCAGTAAAGATATCACGTTTTTTCTTTTCTAATACACATAATTATATAAAATCATTATGTCTACAGACTCACTGGGTCTCTTTCAACAGACTTCAAATAGCCTTCATTTTGTGGTCAGCTACCGGTTAAACCCATCTTTGAAAGCGTGCTATATGACCACTTTTGACTTTGACGTGGACGATATATGTGAGCGTTTCAAATGCAGTGAAATACAGCTGGAGTCAACACTGACCAAAGTCGATGAAACAGCTCGTGTGTATCTCAGTAGACCAACCGCTGTATTGGTTATTGAACTGCCAGAGAGGTGCAGATGTCTCCCAACTCCATCTAACGACAGTAGAGTTACTACCCTACAAGCCACCATTTCGTCACTAGCAGTTGTGATTTGTATAGCGGTTGCTCTGGTGTTTATCATGCTCTGCTACAGAAAGCGCAGAAAGACACACCTTGATCAGTGAGTCCTCACATCATCTCAGTATGCTTCATTTCGATCATCAAACTTTACAGGTCTGTTTCTCGTGATAATCAGTCTGCTGCCCTCGGTAAGGTTTTTGCCACTGTGTAGCTATTTTCACTTTCACAGGTTGTATTCCTCTCTACACAACAGAAGTGAGTGTTCCAAACTTATATTTCAACGTTCCACTTCAGACTTCCAGAGCTACATTCCAAGGTGCTATATAGTGCACTGGACTTTCACACTTCGTGCATTGGACTAGGACGGACGTGATTGCCCTTGGGATTTGCATAAATTTAGTAATCACATTAACGAAGAGTTTACATGCACATTAATTTAGTAGCCTCCAAAAAATGCTATCCTTTTTGGGAAAAGCAAATAATGTGTCTGTGGAGAATTAAATTGTTCTGTAGTGTGTGCATGTTAACATAATTATAATACTTGTTAGGTATTATGGGAATCTTTTGTTTCAGTTGAGTCAGAGGTGGTCAATGCAGAGGAGTCCAGTAGTACAGACGAAATTGACTATGAGAGCCGTTTTCTTTCCCCAAGACTACGAGAGCAGCTGAAGAAAAGGAGAATGATATTTTCAAAGAATCATATTGAGCTTTCAACTATCATTGGTCAAGGTTTGTGTGTGTTTATGCACAATGCTGTAGAGTCCCCCTGAAACGAGGACACTTCTCTAATGAGGACACCTTCTGTATTATTTCACCAGAATAGTTCTTGTCAAAGGCTGAATAATGAACTCACTGATATAGATACTTTTCCATCCCATTGGTATCTAGGATCAACGGCATAGTACCTAAATTGACGTAAAACCTGCATGTTTCAGGGAAGTCAGGCCTGCTGGTCCACAGGGCATATTTGGAAACTCCAAGAGGGAAGGAACTGGTTGCTGTTAAAACTGTTAAGGGTAAGCCAATGGGCAAGTGTAACATAAACTAACGTCACTATTCCCTTTCTCTCAGCACTTTTCTCCAGGAATGACGTCAAGCGACTGGGAAAGGAGGTGTTCACCATGTTTTCACTGAAGCACACTAACGTCATGTCTCTTCGGGGAGTGTGTGTTGCTGCAGAGAGCCCCCTACTAATCATGCCCTTTATGACCAATGGATCTGTCCTAGAGTTTGTCCAACACCATAAAGATGAACTTCTTTGCATTTCAACAGAGGCCAAGGTTTTAGTATTGTGTTCTAAAAGGGGTTTGAGAAAACCTCTATGGCTTACTCTAACAGGTGGAAATAGCCAGAGAAAGGCTGTTGAAAATCTGTCACCAAATTTCGAAGGGCATGGAGTACCTCTCCCTGCGGAATGTTGTTCATCGAGACCTGGGAGCGAGCAACTGCATGTATGAGCTGAAAATACTATTATTGAGAATCACTTTACACTACGTTCCAGGATTGACAACGATGGAGTGATCAAAGTGGCTGATTTTGGACTGGCAAAGAACATGCATGGCACCGACTACTTCCGTCAGGGGAAGGGAGAGGGTGAGGATGAGGAGGTGCCCATCAAGTGGATGGCTCCCGAGAGTCTGGAAGAAGACATCTACACTGAGGCCACTGACGTGGTTAGTGTACACTACACACCGCGTGTACAGTGCTGTATCAGTATGAGATGTCTAGATACTAGAATGTAATCCAACCCAAATGGAATGGAACGCCAAGCATGCATGCTTACATTATAACTCTATGTGATGTTTATTGCAACAACGTGAGATAGAAATACAGCGACATAGTAACATTAAACATTAGTAAGGGGAAAATGGAGCCTTCCTTTACTTGCCAATCGTAACTTTAAGCATGGTTGGCTTGTCTCTTCTTCCACTGGTGTTCCTACAAAAATGCTGAGTCAGCCCCTGAAGTATAATGAGTGATAGCCTCATAGATAGCTACTGTGTGAATTTGTCTCCAGTGGTCATTTGGAGTGACAGTATGGGAAGTGTTCACTTGTGGGAGGATCCCATACATTGATATCCCAGTCGTACATCTACTGGAGGCACTAAAGGGAGGACAGAGACTGGAGAAACCCCAGAATGAGGCCTGTATGGACGAAATGTAAGGAGCTTAATCATTAGAGGGTCTCCCCTTTGATTTGAAATCAAGCATCTCTCCCAGTTTTATGTTTCATTTCAGAGGAAGTCATCATGGGTGCATAAGAATATGCATTTGTAGGCCAGTTAATTTCACAAATTCTCCAGTAATACTGTAACTGTGGGTGAAGTTAGTGGTATTGTGCTTGGATTATTACTTTTTGTCTCTACAGATATGACACAATGAGGAGTTGCTGGTCCCTGAAGCCCACGGATCGTCCGAAGTTCCTGGATTTGGTGGGCATGCTCGGTACTCTTCTGGAGAGGTCTTCTTGCATGTGTCAGACATCATCTAAACTGGACATGTCCCAGTTTCTTCACTCCAACATCCCTCTCTCTTCTCCACCTACTGCCCTTACTCCTCCTGTCATACAGGAACAAGATGCTGAGGACGAAGATGACGATGAAGCTGAGGATGAGTTTTGAAACGAGAATAATTCTGTAGATGCTGTACACTGATGGTCCTTCTTTGGACACCTATATAATAATTATACTGTGTAATGTTCACTTTTGCTATGATATAATAGTGCCAACTTAAGGGAACGTGGTAGTATGTAAGGGCTAAACTGTTACTGAAAATAGAAACTTATCTTGCACTGGGCCCTATTGTTTAGTTTAACATTTCTACCCTTATGTACTGACACACTCCCTTTGAGAAACGTGACGTAGTGACCAGCAAAACAGCATCTGATACAGTAGCAGTGTGTGTCACTCCCCCTGAGGGGGTGTGGCAACATTCCTGATCACATCTTCTGCTGTGTTGGACTTTGGTGATAGGGATTCTGAGGTCTCTGAGATCGCCATATGGTCCCTCTTTGAGTGAGGGTTTCAGTGGTATATATAATTATAGCTAACCATGTGCGGTGGAATAGAGCTGGCAGGAGGCTAGATTTGGTATTCACTCTCTATTAAAAAATTCACTGTAAGGGACTTTGCAGGTGTACAAGACTGCTGTTAAGATTATAGGGTATAGGTTAAAAATTAATAGTGAGTTGTACTGTATTAGACACAAGTTTCTTAATAAACGCAGGATATGCATTACTACATTGACAATGTTCTTGTAATCCGAGTCTCCTTTCGTGTTCTTGGGAGGTGCTTAATAGCTACTAAGTCTCATAGATTTCCTCCACCACTTTTCCGACCATGTACTCCCCAGGATGGAGTCCCAGGGCATTCAGAGCAGTGGGTGCAAAGTCCTTGTCTGTTGTGTATCCAGATATCTGGTATCCTTTCTTCACCTGAGGCCCCATGAACAGAGCTGGGATGTACATGCAGACTTGAGTAGACTCTCCATGTCCATACATATACCTGACAACAGTCAATGGTGAAAAAGACTGATGCATAGCCTACTGATACACCAGACAGCATGCATTCTTTACTCACCCTCCGTGGTCTGCAGTAAGCATGAACAGGGTTTTGGTTGTATATCCCAGCTTTTTCAAATGCCCTCATGATCTCTCCAATGTACCCATCAGCAGCCTGTGACAAAAGCAGACAAATTTAGTCCCACATAATTTCATTGTATGTGACATTGACTGGTGTTTAGTATTGACCTCTTGTGAACTTCATACATAGCTACTGAGCACTTCCCCAGGTAAAGGTATGTCCAGCGTGATCGATGCTGTCAAAATGGATGAACATAAAGTTTGGCTTATGTTGCACTACAAACTTCGACATTTGTATATACCAAGAGTTAAGGACGAACAATACCATACATGCAGCCTATAGGTTGAATTTTATGTTGATCCACATGCCTGAAGTACTCATTATGTGTCAACAAAGAGGTGAGGTAGCAAGGCAAAGGCAAAGCAAACAAGTAAACTCTTTAATAAGCTAGCTATAATGGTGTTAGGATATCTCATGAGCACAGAGAGAGTCATTATCCTTGCAGCGGAAGTTGTTGTAGTCCACGATGCCGTCCTCCACCAGGTAGTTGATCCAGTCCCAGGACTCTGTCACAGCCACCACCGTTTGGAGAGATTGTAGGTGTGTGCACACAAGAAGCCTCCTCACATAGTGCAAACTGAGTTGAAAATTATTTGTGTACGATAAGTAAACTTTCAAGAAATGCCGTGTATATTCCTATTGCGACAACAACAACCTTGCCCTTGCCACTGGTGGGGGGAAGATGTGAGAGCGGGCCTAGAGAGTGGGCCGTCTGGTGGCAGCCAGTAGTTTTCTGAAACACCAGACTCCTCAGGACCCATCCCAGTTATGATGGTAGCTGTGGTTTTATAGTAGTGAAAATTATTATTCATCTCTCATAACTACTTAGCTATAGGCTTACCCCAGTTTGGAGCACTGACTGAGGGCATTTGATCCCTGGCTCTTGTTGTGTGAGCTCCATCAGTTTGACATTGGGAAGGAAAGAAGTTGCATTCTCCAAGTACATTCCTCCTGTATCCATAATATCATGTCAATGCAATAGACACTGATGAATGACGAACTACACTCCGAAAATGCAGGCTACCGTAGTGCGTACCAAATCCATCTCAGCCGAAAATGATGACGTGTTCGGCTGATCCAAACCCGCTCCTCTGGACACGAGGCAGCAGTGCCGAATTAGTGCTGCCCGTAAGATGCAGGATCAATGCCACCAGTGAAACAACTTGATGCAGCATCTCGCGGTGTGTCGCTGGTCGTTGGCCGTGTATACTGCATGCGCGCACCTCGCCCTCGGCGCGCATGCGCAGCGAGGGTTTGGTTTGTCATTCCGTCCGTCTGTGTCTGTCGGTCTGTCTGTCTGTTACCACGTTTTCTCCCGCTACGCGCAACAAGACAGCCAAAAAGCGATACCGACTGGTTCAGTGCCACACTGGCTTTATTTTAAAATAGCGATTTAGATAAAAGTGCTGCGTTCGAAAGTTATGGCGTGAAACACAAATTCGCACTGGCTTACCTCTGCCAGCTCTGCGAGGCACCAGAAGTTGCAACGCAGGACGAGTATCGACTCCCGCGTGCTATCTATCAGTGTAGCAAGCCTGTGACCGACTCTCAGCGAGCTGTTAAGCGACCTCGAGTCAATAAAACGGTAAAATTTGGACGAGCCCACCAATTAACAGTGCCGCGCATGTGGTAGCGTGTATAATAATTATACATCTACGGGTAACCTGCTGAGGCACAGCCTGCCAGAGTAAGAAAATGTTAATATCCTGCTCCTCCCCCACACCATTCAAATATCAGAATGAGCACAGGGTGAGCAAGTATCTACCATTGCTAACGTACTGATGATGATGACATGTAACAGCTTAGTAGTATGTACATGCATGCGTATACAAATTAATCAGCCCACTGCGCCGAGGGTTAGCACTTCAGTGCCTTTCATTGTTGTTG